AGATTCATATTTGTAGGATAGTTGGCTTCTTAAGAGGTCTTTAAAATCGTTATTCAAATAGACAAGTCCGTAGAATTAGGTTTACCACTATGGAGATGATTGAATCTTTGTGGTTATTTTTCTTAAAACAAAGATTTGCTCAAATTAAAACTTTTAGAAATGTTTCGTATTTGTGTTCAAGGTTTATCGAAAACCCTTAAAAAATTACAAATACAGTTTGGATAGTAAAGTATGTGTTGTTCAGTTATTCAGATGTAACGATTCAATGTTATCTTACACCTTTTTTTTTTCAGGGTTATACAAGAAACGACGCCATGAATAAGGGATGGTTTTTCCTGTTTTCTTTAATGGTACTAGCAAGTGTATTCGACACAGAAGCCCAGTGTATTTGGTTTTGTGTGAGACTGAAATGTAAAAATGGTAAATGCGATCACAAGTGCTACTTGTTATCGGATGATAAATGTAAAGACGTCAAGAATGGAGGTAAGTTTGACTCGCTACATTATTGTACATTAATTGTTTACCCGAAGCGTGATATCAGAAGGTCGAATAGCAATGTAAAAGTTCTGTTGTAAGTTAGTTTGTGCCAATCGACTGTTCCATAATTAATTTTCCATGTAATTGTTATATATTCAAACTATATTGTTTTCCACTCAATTAATGGCATAGCCATTTCTATGGATTACTTTAAAACATTATTGTTTTTTATAAAATGTATAATTTTAATTACTTCTCTTTTAACTAATATTTATGATTAGTATAACTAGTTGTTTATTTGAGCACAAAACGTTGATTGAGCCCAAGATTTTATGTTAGAATCCCTTAAGCCTACTTCTGAGCCACTCGAGGGGAATTATTTTAATGCAACAGAAAGTGTTGAAAAGAAATGTTAAGCTTAAAGATACTTCGTGAAAATCTTGGTATCACCACTGAATGTGAAAAATGTTTATATTAAAAGAAAAAAACACCTTTTCTAACAGAAAAGATCTTGACACTACCAGAAAAGGACAGCAAACTTTCTTTTGAGCATATTGAATAATAGATGAAAGAGGTATGTAATATAAATTATTCGTTAATAAAAACACTAACAGTCAAAGTGCAGTTTTTCTTCTCAAAATTATATCTAAATGTATGTTTTCTAAAAATTAATTACAATCTAGTAAAGATATATGTCTGGAGAATGGCTATCCTATTTGTAGTTACTTAAGAAAACAACATTTTTTATGTATATTTGGTCGTCTGCGTGATTAGCATTTTTAAAGTTATGTTCAATTGTTCTTCTTGATAATTCTGATAAATCGAAACATGAGAAAAAAAACTGATTCTCAAAGACATATTCCTACTTGGTCAACTGTAGGAGCAATTATTACTTGTGATGGTAAAGACAGAAGGAATGATGAGGATAAAACCAAGTAACAAATACAGACATAGCGGTTGGAACGGGAATATAATTTACTGTTTCTCTAGCTATATGAAACTAATAACGAAGTAAAAGTCAATCAAGCAACTTGTTCTAATTCAGAGCCATCAACAACATCAAGCCTGTCCTGTAACTCTTAGTGTGTATGTACAATCATACTCAAAGAATGCCATAATTTTTCTCTTTGTATTTCTTTGTAGAATCAGCGTGGAAAGATAACTTGTGAAATGCTTGTATTCCACTGAATAAAGAACAATTCTTTCTTAATATTGTCTTTTGTGTACAACTTACTTTTAATGTTTGCTAAAAGTCTGCCAAATTTCGTGAATATGCTTGTTTGTTTGAATTTATGCACAAAGCTACACAATGGGCTATTTGTGGTCTGCCCACCACGGGTATCAAAACCCGGTTTCTAGCGTTGTAAATCCGCAGACATACCTTTGTGCTACTGGGAGGTGTGAAGATACACTTATTACAGTTACAGTTATAGTTGTAACTAAAGAAATCCTACCTATTAAAATGTAAGAAACAACAATTTTTCTGAAAATTGAATGTTTTAAGTTAAAAGTGGGAATCCTTTGTGATAAACGTTCAAATTCATCTTTTTTTTTTACACGCCAATGTTTAAATAAACTCTTGTTTAAAATACAACAAAACTGGCTGTATAGTGCTATATATTATCAATAAAAATTTCGCTGGTTTGTTGAATATCGTGCGAAACAACAGAGCACAGATAGTCTATTGTACAGGTTTTTTTAACAGCAAACAAAGAAACCCACTGGTAAACAACAAAGAAAAAGATAAAAACTCTAGCAACTAGTTAAGGCAACAAAAGTTAAATAAAATAACATAAAATAAAAACTAAAAATAAAATATGAACAAATAAAACAAATCTGAAATACACTTTAGAAATTAGAATACAACTCAAATAAATTAAAATGAAAGAAACTGAGAATCATAACTGAAAATAAAGAATATCAAAGTTAAATCATAAAATAGTGTTATAATGACTGACACTCACTAAATATAAAAGGCTTATTCCCTATGTCATTCTGTCGAGAACGCTTTCACGCTCTTTTTTTAGCAATGCTCAACAATATACATCGTCGCTTAGCAACAAAACTATCCCCTAATTGTTCTTAGGCCAACTATGGTGTTTATGTTGAATGCTCAATATTCATGTTGATTTATTAGAAAGGTTTGTTTTCTTCTTTATTTTTTGATAACTTCGATGATATAATAGTAAAATAGTTTAATTCAGAAGTTTTATGACATTGAGTTGTAGCCAAAAGCAAAATATAATTTACCAATCAGTGTTTCAGCTAAGCCTTACATTACGTTTATGTATTAGGCCTAATGCTTAAATTAGAATACAAAAAGGCCTACTATTGATAATGTTATTGTTGCGTCATCGAGGTCACGTGACTGGTGTGGCGCCCTCTAGTTACTAGAACTA